ATATCTTAACATACATTTAGTGGAACCAAACTATAAACTAGCAGTGCAAACTGTTACTTCAATAAATTCTTCATTTCATTTCTCAAATGTAAAACTACAGTCAAATTACATTCAATTGAGCCCAGTTAGTGGCTTACCGGTAGTCCTTCTAAGTCCTTTCCCATGAAATGCTGCTTTGGAGGCTGTGTTTGCCTTCCTCAGCTCTGTTGCAAAACCAGTAAAGTGGTTAGTGGATTCCTTATATACCTGAGTTGATGGTGCTGCTGATTGGGCCAGATTTCCTTCACCTGCTGAGAAGTGCTGCAGAGTGGCATACCTGCGTGTGTATGTGTGTGCACACACAAATGTCTATTCATGCACCCACATCTGAACTAATGAGCAGATCTGCGCAACAACACCTTTAGAAAAGTAAAAATATACAATTGTGTTAAATCTCACATTTTTTTCCTCTGGGAAAACAAAAATTATACACAAATCACCTCAAGACCAGAAAATGAGGACTTTCAAAATAACAAAGTAACTCAAACCAGCAAACTTGGAGTTTTGAAGAAGAAGAAAAGTGGTTCTGATATCCTCTACAAATATATTATAGGGATGAAACCTCTTACTCTTGTCGTGCAACAAATCACATGACGGCTACTTATTATTGCACTTACCAGTACTAATAGTTTGACTCCACAATGAGGTTGTTTTATCTTTTAAAGACGTGAGTCTGCTAATGGAGTAAATTCAGTACACACGACACAGAAGATTAGAGGAACACAATGTTATGTTATTTAGTGCAAGTAAAAATACCCTAAAATGACGCAGTCATGACCGCTTATCTTAGATGAGATTTTGAGGCATTGGAAATGTTAACAAAATCAAAGAAGACAAATCACATTAAAAAAAGTAAACAAAGTCCAGATTAGCAAAATGGCTGCCTAAACATGCTGTGATAAAAAAGAAATGTCACAAATTAGCTGCATAAACTTCTGGATTTTACAATATCAGATCAAATCTTAAAGAGCCCAGGTTTCACATAGAGAGAACACATCAGAAACTCGGTTTAGATTCCTGCAGACTTGATTCTTTCTATTATCCGCTCTCCTTTTCACAAATACCTGAGATTCAGTTACTTTTCTGCCTGGAAATGTTTTTCAGTAGAGTTGAAGAGGAGTTGAAAAACATAAGGAGGATATGAACATTTTATGTAGCAGAAAATAAATCACAATATTACAAGTGGTAATGGAGGAAAGACGTTTTCTCCAGATGGTTTTACTTGGATTTACTGAAGAATTTGGTCTCTATAAAGAAACTGAAATCTGTAAGATGTTTATTTATAATATAGTGACAAAGGAGGACAGATACAAAGTAAGTGAGAAGGGAGAGAACTGACACAAGTTTGCTGCTTTTGGTGGAATTCTCCACACGTTGTCAGACATTTGTCAAGTTTTGGGTTTAACAAAACGCGAGTCTTCCCCAGGGCTGCTATGATCAGTGACTCCTTGTTTCCTTTAATTTCTGACCGTGTCGTTATTTGTAGGATTTGGTCACATCAGCCACTTCAACTCTCTTTGGTGGTACAACCCCTGCAGGGGTTTTTCCTTCTGTGATTGCCCCTTCAGCTCTGTTGAGGATTTGTTTGGATTTAACCAGCTTCTTTGACTTATTTGGATTATTATAATTTAATGTATTACTATTTTGTGTTGTAATTGTTATTTCATATAGATTTAGTTAGTATTCGGTTTAAAAGCAGACTATATTTGTCGACCTGTCATAGAAGGGTCCATTATTCTTCAGAAGTAGGAGAAGAAAACTTGATTCAGAGAAAAAAAGATGGGGAGTTTTCTTTCTGAGGGATTTTCTGTGCTCCCACACTCTGTCGTCAATCATTACTATTATGATTTGTTCATTCTTTTTATTCTCTAAAGTTTATCTGAATAATTGATCTGGCTCCTCATCTTTGGATTTGTCAAAATTTGATAAACTCCTTCTCATCAGTAAAACATTCACTGATGGTTTTAAATCTGCAAATACTTGATATCGCCTCAAAAATCCCAAATGTCTATTTAAATGGTTCAAACATGAAAATATGCCTTAATGTGCACAGTGGAAAGTGTCTTAGCACTACCTCAGAACTTAAAGAAACAGTCCCTTTTCTTAAAAGAAACTTCCTCGCCAACCTTTCTATTCACAAGCACTCATGTTCATCCGATGAGTATTTGAGATTTCCCCTCCATGTGCTTCTTCTCCTCTATTTGTCTTGGCCATTTTGTGAAACCAGAAGCATTTCTGCATACCTAAGCTTGGGTTTTGGGGTTGAAGGAACTTTCCGGAGTTTTTTTTTTATGACATTAAGACCAATGTTTTCCAGCACATTAAACTCTTAGGTGGCCTTCCAGGACACTTTTTCTTTCCTAACCACATTTAGGAAAGATATGGTGAAGATAAATTTGCATGCATTTTTTCCCTGTTTTCAAATAGCATGCTGTAAACTCTAGGTGCTGGTAGATTTGGCACTTAAAATAGGTTTATAATTTATATAGCTGGTCGTAAAACATAAGTTGGTGCCCACAGAGCAAATTTCCTTGCTATTATCATCTGTTGTTTAGCCATAAAGATTTGATTTTTGTTTTATCTAATAGTATTTTAAGCTAATGGTGTACATTTTAATGAAGTGCTATTCAGGTGTTTTGGTAAGGTTCCCAAATTTAAATGCAATTTTTATGAATACAAAACAACTTTTAGGAAATAATAGAGAATTGTCAATTACAGTAATAGCTGTACAATTTTCTCTGTAGTTTCAATGTCTACAAAATCGCTATTGCAAAGGGCTGCTTGAATGCAGTTTGTGGTTGAATATCATATTTCTCTGCATGCTAATAATATATCTGGAAAGTTGCATGGTCTCCAGCTGCCTTCGATGCCCACCACGTGTATTTTTAGTACGTAAAATGCACATGAATAAAATGGTTGGGAAACTGCATTGATGGAAAAGAAAGTCAAGAGTCTTTAAAATGTGGGGTAATAAGAAAATGTTACTGTAGTATTCAGAAGTATTGCAATTACACATCTACCTCAATATTAATTATAGTCATCTAGCCTATTATTGGATAGGCTAAGAACAAACAACCTCTTATCAATTATTAGGTAATAAACATTGTCATTCCAGTTGTGCAATTAAAATAGACTGCAAGGATGCAATATTTGGTAGGTTTTAGTATTTCAATTGCCAAGCATACATTGTTTTGTATGGATTTGTAATGAGAGTTTTGATTTGTTGTGGAAGAAGGCTGTGGATATTTCTGACAAAACATTATAGTGTAACAACAGGGTGATGTTTATTACTATGCATCACAGTTGGTCGTGTTTTCTCCAGTGTACTTGGCTGTCATATTCATATTCTATTCAGATTTAGGGGTTTTTAGTTGTTTTTTGAATGTCCAATTGGATGCCACCTTTGGCTCCATGTTAGAATATCCATCCATTGTCTTCCACTTATTTGGGATCGGGTTGTGGGGACAGCAGCTTAAAAAGGATAGAACGTTAGAATATCCAGAAAAATTTTAGAATAACAATTTTCATTATCTTCTGTAAGTGTTCACATTTTTGTGGCACCATATAGCCTCGAACTAAAAGCTGCGAAATGGCAAAGTAATCAGAGAAGCCGTAAGAAATGCAGCAAACTGCCACAAAACCTGGCTTAAGCCCAGCTTGGTTCTGGCGGGGACCTCATACTTGTTTTAATGGGTTACATAAACACCTTTAGCCTTGTGGTTGGGCCAATGTCTTCTTTATGATGTGGAATGTACGATGTCAGTTAGATGGCAACCACAACATTTATTTAAGGGCTTACTTACATTTTTAAATACTTAGCAGCTATGTTTATGGTTAGAGGGGGGAAGTTATAAGAGTGTAAACCAGAGTTTGCTTTCCCATTTAATTCTTAAGCTGGAGACAAACAAAAATCTATTCCTAAAACATCATAATTGAACAAACATTTCTTTGCAATAACATTGTTTACCCGTTTTGTTAAATAATTACCATTAAAGGTAATATTAAAGGGAAACTTTTTTTCCCCTTTTATTTCATTAAAATTACATATTTTACTTATTATTTACTTAGTCAGATGCTTTTCCAACATTTTTGGGGGATTCCTCCGTGTCATCAGGGCCTGGAGAAATGCTAGAATAACTGCAACCAAACAAACCAGAATACATACAAATGACTTAATTTGTTGGTCTCCATTGTAATATCTGATACAAAGCAGGAAAGCGGCACAGATCAGGTGAAAATCATGGAGCAATAATCAGATCAATTCTCCTCTAAAGGACCAGTTGCCTGTTGTGATTTTAATTATTATTATTTTTTATTATTTTTCTGTGAACAAGTTCCTTCGATTACACATTAAGTTTAGCACAGTTATGCTGAAATAACATGTCACTACTTGAGCTAATTGTGAGCTCAAGTAACATCACACGGTGAAATATAATACAAGTATTCAACACTTGTAACTTGTTTATTCTAATCTAACTTTTTTGTAACTTGTTTTAGATGTGTTTTTAGAAAGATGTAGAATTTATTTAAAGAGCAAAAGGAAAAGAAAAGCTGGCAAAATGCTAGTGTATAACCTAACCACTTCTGAAAGCAACTCAAAGCAGGCTCAAAACCTAAATGTTGTGGGTTCCTTAACTTCTCCAATAATTTATGTTCTTCTCTTTCATAAGCTTCAGCTTTAAGTAACTCACAACCTCAGCGTCTCTTACCGCCACGATGAAAAGTGAAATTAGGTGTCACAGCTAAGGTGACCACAGAACGATGTGCAAAACCAGCCTTGCGATTGAAAGCAATCATTTGTTTTACACCAATTTTTCAAGCAGGTTTTATATATTTTCTAACTCTTCTGCTTTTGTTTTATACCTACAGATGGAAATTGAAGCCAGTAATGTTGCTAAATATTGCTACTTTGCCTCTTATCTTGTTATTTTTGTAACCTATTCATCCTGTCTGTCTTCTAGGAGCATTTATCCGTCTTGATGCTCCCATGAACAACATAACAACGTCGCTGGGTCAAACAGCAGAGCTTATTTGCCGCGTCTCCGGGAACCCGCAGCCTGTCGTGCGTTGGCTGAAAAACGACGCCCCAGTGGTGCAGGAGCCAAGGCGGGTCTCCTACCGGTCCATGCCGTACGGATCACGCCTGCGAATCCGCAACCTGGACACCACAGACACGGGCTACTTCCAGTGCGTTGCGGCCAACGTGTATGGTACCGTTTCCACAACAGGAGTTCTGTTTGTCAAATTTGGTAAGAACATCTCAAGTGATCTTGTGGAGTGATTTACAAAAAGAAAAACTTACTGCCACACATATATCTTGGTGCAATGACAAGGCTTTTCCTCTGCTCATCTTTTCCAAGCTCATCAGCAACACTTAAACCAGCTGATTCCTCTCTTAGTTGGCTGCTTACATAGAGAAAATCTGGAAGCAATATTGTTTATCCGGTAATAAAAATCCCCTTGTCTTCTTTTCCAGATCCACTCCCTACACCTCTATCAGGAAAGCCAACGTAAGTAGCTTTTCTTCTGCTCATTTTTCTTTCCATCTGCCAGATTATGCAGTGCAGACTACATTTGTTAATCATATGTTTCTAACGTTTGTTTTTTTGTGGTGGGGGGTTTTGTTTTTCCAATATTCAACCTTTCTATTCACTGGTTTACGATTAATGGCACAGTAGAAAAAATGAAAAGTTAAGGTTAAATTGTCCATCAGATATACAACACTAAAAAGACTGAAAACATTTGTACCGAAAACATTGGCAGTTGTAAAAGACAAAAAAATGTTGATTCATATATTGCACATTTTGTTATTATTATAAATTGAAGGTTATTTATAATTACTTAAATAATGATAATTAAAGATATTTAATTATAATTAGTTTTAGTGTTCGACTAAAAATGATGTGAAAATAGGGCTAATCTAGAAATGTAATCTAAAAATACATACATTCAGTACACACAAAGAAATAATTCAAATAAATATATCTGTTAACATTATGATTATAGATGCAGCGAATTCTAATAAAAATTCAGTTTCTCAGAAACCTTGAATATTGTGTAAGAGCAATAAAATGATGTTCAATGTAAAAAAATATTCTATAGCCATTGTGGCTTTTTACTGCTGACTTAAAAGTTGTCCAGACGTAGTTGACACATTCCTAAAGAAGAGACTAGTCCTTTATTCAACAGATTTATTGAAAGTTAAGTCGAAGGAAACTGGATGGTAGAAAATCCTGCAGGGCATCACAACCTAAGAGTAAAAATTCTATAGAATTAAAAATGGAAAAGACAACATACGTTTTGATAGAGAGGTTAGACGTAATTTTAAAAACAAGCATGTTTGATGGAAAACTGGCCAACATAAAATTAATCTGATTTAAATTATGAAGAAAGTTGAATTGTGACTGTTTAACTGGGTTTTTGTCAGAGCAGTTGCTCCAGTAGCTACAGGCACTCTTAAAGACCTAGAGAGATTATTCCAGATGACCCAAGTGCTCCAGCTGGCTCAACAAGCTAAAAGCACAGCCAAAGGAAATGTGTTCGCCAGACAAAGTTTGGCCTTAGGAAGGAGCAACACAATTTTACAATGGAGTCCACATTTTCCTGGAGAGCAGTAGGACATCTCCAGCACAGGTCTGGTGTGATCTCTCTTCCCTGATTCTGAGAGGGGGTGAAGGAACTTTTTCAGACCGATTTCTGGTTCTTAGTAAAGGCAACATGCTGCATTCATCCAGTCGACTAAAAATGAAAGCTTTTTTTTTTTTTTTCTTCTTCAGCTCTTTAAGCTCACATGGTTCAAATTTAAATGGTTACTGTTTACTCTCAGGTAACATTGGAATTTGGAATCAAGCAGACCAATGGATGCACACCAGTTGCAACACAGATGCTGGTGCAAAAACACAATGTCCAGCTTCTAACCACAGACTGCCTGGATAATTGAGATCACTAGTCAAGACATAAACTAAAATATTAGCATATATACAAAGTGCTATAGATGCTTCCTCCCTGAACTGTCACTAAATCTTTGCTCCCTCAAATGCACAAAATGGCAGAATGACCCTCATCTGTCTCTATGGTTTAGATTTTATTCCCTTAAATAGTAACCCAATTATCTGCCAGCTGTTTGAGCAAACAGCAGAAACAGCCACAGCACTGATTGCTCAACATGAGCAGAACACAGAGGGGGTCTTCAGGGTGGTAAATGAAACCAAACCGAGAAAAATTTTTTGGCCATAGAAACACTTTTGTCAGGATGAAAATTCATTTTGAGTCTGGAAGTTTTCTTTCATTTTGTTTTGACATTTCCTCAGCTTTATTGAATAAAACACCACTAGCTCTGTCTGTTGATTTGATTCTCAGAAGATCAAAGAACACAGCCTGAATGACTTTCCCCAGTGACATTATGCTGAGGCTCCCTGCCATGTTGCACACAGCGTTCTGCACATCAAAACTGCGGCCGCTGATTGGATAACACACATTTACTAAATCCACCCCCTTGCTGAGATAAATGAATAGACAGTCACCTAGAGTCATAAACAAGTCCTTTAATGTGTGCTTTGGCTAATGTGTTATTTGTATTTAACTCTAAAGCCATTGTGCCTTTCTTTGAGATAGTTTGAGGCATTTACTTTTTTATGTAGTGTAATTAAAGTAAAATGAAACTTGCAGAAGGAGAAAAATTGTCTGATTTCTATGGCTCTTTGATTATTAAATATGTTTCTAGGTAAACATGATTTACTTTCTGATTTTTCGAAGCCTTTAAATCAGCAAAAATCCATCCTTTACTATAAGCAGGCCATCTCATATTAACGGATTCTCCTTCACAGACCTTTTTGGGACCACATATTTTTCAGAAGAAAATACAGCTTTGAAAGCTGAAATACATAGATTCTGTTCTGCTTTACATGCCATTGGCTGGTGTTGAAAAAGCAAAAAATCCAGGAGTGTCGTTAAGTTTCCTTGGTGTAGATTGGTTGTATCTCCAAGAGAGGACATAAGGAAGATCAGATGATAGCTCCTCCAGTTGTGACTAAAACGGTTTGCACAGTGTTCTTTAATGCTTCTTAAGCTGTATTTGGTGTTTAAATATCGAAATAGGATATTATACGCATCTTCAAATGTTATATCAAATAGTCACAGATGTAATTTATTGATGGGTCGTTGTGGTCTCTAAAAGGCTCTGCATGGTTGAGCCAAAGTGGCAAAATCAATTCTCATTGTCGCAATTGAGGAGCAAAAATTGCGTCATTTTTTTCTCGACCTCATGTCGTCCGCCCCCTCGTGTTGTAGCACCACCACCATCATTATATCCTTTTCCGACAAACTTTTGAACTCATAATAGTCATTCCTTTCTTCCATAATCGCTGTGCTTACTGTCTTATGGATCTTGTAGGCAGAGTGCAAAAACAAATATCTCGCAGCCACATTACCAAGCATCAGTTTGACTTTGGTCCAACCATGCTGGGCCTTAAATACTGGGGGCCTACTGTACAGGAAAATCAAATCTCTGCAAAATCAAATCTCTCTTCTTGCATCTGCTGCAAAGGGGCAGAGATGCTAGATTTAAGGGACAATAACGCATTGAACAAGACCCATTACTATACAAATGTTCCTCTTTATCAAAAAAACTGGGAGAAAATGAGCATTTACTGGTTTATTTCCTTCTTACCCTGACATGTTTCATGTGTTGCAGTCAAGCAAAAAACACTGTGAGCTGGTAAGTCATTACAGTCATTACAGACTTCATTTAAACAGACAGCGGCCTGTTTGCACAGCAGCAGAACAACAGCGATATTGTGCTGATTGTCGCTGCTGCTCATCGTTAGTGTCATGCCCGACTTATTAGCCGTAGAGTCAAGGTGGCAGCCGTCACGGAGATGAGGTCAGCTAATGATGACAAGGGACGACCTGCGCCTGCTTATTAATACCGCAGCTGTTCAAGCATGAAAACTTCCAACATCTGGTGCTGAACCTTGGGATTGGGAAGTTTACACATTTACCTTTCACCCCTTAAAAAAAGAAGAATTTCTTACTTCCCCATAGTAAACATAGTGACTAACATTTTCCTGGTTTCTACTATCAACAAATGTTCTTCACAAATTTGGGGGGAAACTTTTTTTCACCACCCACTGTGTTGAACCTGAGCACAAGGCGAAATTCAGGTACTGTGTTGTCTTTGCCATGATCCGTGCTCTGATTTCCATCCCCTCCACACTGGGCTAGAGTGTACACTCTGTGGTGAGCAGGACATCACAGTTGTGTGTGTGTGGGTGTTTGTATCTAACCTGAGGCGTGGGGTTTCAAGGTTAGCCACCGGCAAACTGACAGCTCAGAGGTTAGAGCTCAGAGTCCAGGCAGTGTAGCTTCCTTAAAGTCACGGAGAGAAGCGTATTAAAGCAGATCTTAGTTACAGGAATAACAAGGTTTCTACGCAGTCTAGTAAAGTATGGAATTTCAGTGCACTATGAGTCTGAATAAGCCCGGGATAAAGAAAACAGAGTATGGACAAGTATTTGTTATTGCCAGCCTTTTTTCCTATTCATTTTCTCAAAGTGCCATCCATTCATTTATCTTCCCCTACAGCTTATTATAGGTTTCATTCAGTGGTTTTATCATTTATAAATGATTTTATAGAACTAAACCCTAACATTTGACTCTGGAAATGTTTACAGGAAGCATGCCGTTAACGCCAGTGTCATTTTCATAGGATAAGAAAGTTGAGTGAAAATACCAATGTAGCCAAGCATTAGTATAAACATTAAAAACGTAATCTAGAGCAATCTGATTGCATTCATTGAAAGCAGAAAAGCAACGACTATTTCTACAGCCTCTGGAATAAAATGTTGATTTTCATCAGTTGTAATAATGTCATAACATATGTTGCTTATATGATACATAAGCAAGAATTTAGAGTAAATACCAGCAAATATTAGAATTGTTTGAAAGAAAATACCATTAGACAGAAATCTGTTCCTTTGAGCTATTTGCATATGAATAAGTTAGGTAGACAGCTTGCAATCAACAACTGTCATGCTTTTAGTGCCAATTTAATTTTAGAGGAATACATCAATATCAAAATTGTTCATAATATGAAATACTTCCAAAATGCAGTGGACCGCCAGCTATTTGTGGTCCAGGATTCACAGAATCTTTCTCTGTTCACAGATTTCTAATATTATAAAGTTTGCAAAGCAGCCAATCCAGGAGCATCATTCAGTTTCCTTGCCACTGATTGGTTGTACCCCCAAGAGAGGAGATCAGGAAGGCTGTTAGCTTCTGTCAGTGCCACCATTAATGTTTAACAATTATTTGGTGTTTAAGCTATTCAAATAGTTTAAATATTTTGTCATTTTTCAGGATTCTCTCCTTTGAAGTGATTGAAAATAAATTTCAACTGTGTAGAGATTCTTGTAGAGGTTTAATTATAAATTATTTCAATCTAAATTCACATGCATTTGTTCTGTATCTTTCCAGAGTTCTGTCCTAAGTTAAAAAGAAACAATTTATTAAT